CAGTAAGCCAGGCGAGGCTCTCCTGCCGAGGGTACAGTAAGCCAGGCGGGGCTCTCCTGCCAAGGGTACAGTAAGCCAGGCGGGGCTCTCCTGCCAAGACTACAGTAAGCCAGGCGGGGCTCTCCTGCCAAGGGTACAGTAAGCCAGGCGGGGCTCTCCTGCCAAGGGTACAGTAAGCCAGGCGGTGCTCTCCTGCCAAGACTACAGTAAGCCAGGCGAGGCTCTCCTGCCAAGGGTACAGTAAGCCAGGCGGTGCTCTCCTGCCAAGACTACAGAAAGCCAGGCGAGGCTCTCCAGCCAAGGGTACAATAAGCCTGGCGGGGCTCTCCTGCCAAGACTACAGTAAGCCAGGCGGGGCTCTCCTGCCAAGGGTACAATAAGCCAGGCGAGGCTCTCCTGCCAAGGGTACAGTAAGCCAGGCGGGGCTCTCCTGCCAAGACTACAGTAAGCCAGGCGAGGCTCTCCTGCCAAGGGTACAGTAAGCTAGGCGAGGCTCTCCTGCCAAGGGTACAGTAAGCCAGGCGGGGCTCTCCTGCCAAGGGTACAGTAAGCTAGGCGAGGCTCTCCTGCCAAGGGTACAGTAAGCCAGGCGGGGCTCTCCTGCCAAGGGTACAGTAAGCCAGGCGAGGCTCTCCTGCCAAGGGTACAGTAAGCCAGGCGGGGCCCTCCTGCCAAGGGTACAGTAAGCTAGGCGAGGCTCTCCTGCCAAGGGTACAGTAAGCTAGGCGAGGCTCTCCTGCCAAGGGTACAGTAAGCCAGGCGGGGCCCTCCTGCCAAGGGTACAGTAAGCTAGGCGAGGCTCTCCTGCCAAGGGTACAGTAAGCCAGGCGGGGCTCTCCTGCCAGGGGTACAGTAAGCCAGGCGAGGCTCTCCTGCCAAGGGTACAGTAAGCCAGGCGCGGCTCTCCTGCCAGGGGTACAATAAGCCAGGCGAGGCTCTCCTGCCAAGGGTACAGTAAGCCAGGCGCGGCTCTCCTGCCAAGGGTACAATAAGCCAGGTGAGGCTCTCCTGCCAAGGGTACAATAAGCCAGGCGAGGCTCTCCTGCCAAGGGTACAGTAAGCCAGGCGAGGCTCTCCTGCCAAGGGTACAGTAAGCCAGGCGAGGCTCTCCTGCCAAGGGTACAGTAAGCTAGGCGAGGCTCTCCTGCCAGGGGTACAATAAGCCAGGCGGGGCTCTCCTGCCAGGGGTACAATAAGCCAGGTGAGGCTCTCATGCAGGAAGCCAGGGAGGTGAGCGAGGCTGCACACTCAACAAAGCATTTGTCATTGAGGAGCCGCCGCCATTGTTGTGGACACTTCCTCAGGACGGCACAAGGATGAACTACCTTAGGTATTCTCACCTCCTGGCCCCTCTGTGGGAGGCAGCTGACAGTCACCCTCTAGCTGGGGAGGCAGCTGACAGTCACCCTCTAGCTGGGGAGGCAGCTGACAGTCACCCTCTAGCTGGGGAGGCAGCTGACAGTCACCCTCTAGCTGGGGAGGCAGCTGACAGTCACCCTCTAGCTGGGGAGGCAGCTGACAGTCACCCTCTCGCAGGGGAGGCAGCTGACAGTCACCCTCTAGCTGGGGAGGCAGCTGACAGTCACCCTCTAGCTGGGGAGGCAGCTGACAGTCACCCTCTAGCTGGGGAGGCAGCTGACAGTCACCCTCTAGCAGGGGAGGCAGCTGACAGTCACCCTCTAGCTGGGGAGGCAGCTGACAGTCACCCTCTAGCTGGGGAGGCAGCTGACAGTCACCCTCTAGCTGGGGAGGCAGCTGACAGTCACCCTCTAGCTGGGGAGGCAGCTGACAGTCACCCTCTAGCTGGGGAGGCAGCTGACAGTCACCCTCTAGCTGGGGAGGCAGCTGACAGTCACCCTCTAGCAGGGGAAGCAGCTGACAGTCACCCTCTAGCTGGGGAGGCAGCTGACAGTCACCCTCTAGCTGGGGAGGCAGCTGACAGTCACCCTCTAGCTGGGGAGGCAGCTGACAGTCACCCTCTAGCTGGGGAGGCAGCTGACAGTCACCCTCTAGCTGGGGAGGCAGTTGACAGTCACCCTCCCTCCTCCTAGCTGGGGAGGCAGTTGACAGTCACCCTCCCTCCTCCTAGCTGGGGAGGCAGTTGACAGTCAACCCCCCCCCTCAAGCTGGGGAGGCAGTTGACAGTCACCTTCCGTCCCTCTAGCTGGGGAGGCAGTTGACAGTCACACTCCCGCCCTCTAGCAGGGGAGGCAGTTGACAGTCACCCTCCCCCCCTCTAGCTGGGGACGCAGTTGACAGTCACCCTCTCCCCCACTAGCATGGGAGGCAGCTGACAGTACCCCTTCTCCTTCTAACAGGGGAGGCAGCTGACAGATATCCTGTCCCTTCTAGCTGGGGAGGCAGCTAACATTGTTCTTTCCCACACTAGCAGGGGAGGCAGCTGACAGTCACCCTATTCCCCTCTAGCTGGGGAGGCAGTTGACAGTCACACTCCCCCACTAGCATGCGAGGCAGCTGAGAGTCACCTCCCCCATACCAGCAGGGGAGGCAGCTGACGGTCACCC